ATCACATCTCGACCGCCTTTGAACGCTTTGAACCACTCATAAGCACGAGTTTTTGATAAAGTCGATTCACCGTAAGCCTTCTGTAACATTTTCAGTGACTCCGAACACGAAATTCCATTGGCGATGCAAAATTTAAGACAAACTCTTTGTTCAATACTTTGGTCCATTATGAAAATCGCAATACACACTATATATGATATTACTAAAACCAGCACTGTATTTAATATAAATAATAGATACAACTCAAACTCCGCGCCACAATGGAAAACAGTGCCAATCTAACAACTACAAAAAAAAAACAAAAATTTGAATTTGGAACCATGAAGAAATCATCGATTCCCGATACTTTTTTGATTGAATATACAAGGTGTTGTTTTAAAGCCGCGTCATTTTCTAGGAGGCAGCTTGGACATCGATTCCGAGTCCAAATCTATAAAAAAAATTGTAGGTAAATATTTCTCATTTTTCTGCAAATTACGGAAATTCGTAAGTGCAAACTACACGCCGCCGTCTTGTAACTAGCATTATAACTCTCAAACACGTAATTGATATTATTCCTAATTCCATAAAACTCCAATAAGAAGCATTGCTGTCGCTTTTTCTGAAATACTGTCGAACTTAAACGATTTATTATAGCCGTATTTTTAACAATTGGCCCGAAATATTCTCTTACATTGAACCTTTATGACTTCTGTGATATGCCCCCGAGAAATGACACGGCTTCAAAACTACAAATTGTATAATAGATCTTACGTATGGTTTAATAGTCATCCTTCTCGTTGTCATCTTATTGCAATTTCCATTTAGTTCCGAATCCGAAGGACGAAATCCAGGTCTGTACCTAAACTGTTTCTTATTAGGATCTTTTTCATCGATGGGTTTAATTTTCAATTGTACTTGGGCGTTGTTTATATCTCCGAAATCATAATTCCATTCAGCTGAATTAAATGTTCTAAGACCATCATCATTATCATTTGGTTCTATATTACCTTTGTTTTTTAGTACAGTCCTGATTATATCGAGTGCGTCTTGCAAATCTCTTACTGTACCTACTTTAGTTAGTTTTATTTCTGATTGTACTTCATTGGATAGTGCTGTAAAAATAACGGTGTAAGCAAAATTATAATAAGAAGACGCAATTTTTGATACTTTTTTTAACCAACAAGCCCGCCACAACCTATAAGCTAGGATCTACAGTAGATACAACGACAAAAACACAAACGACGTGTCGCGGTTTCGATTCCCACACAGAACAACTCTTTGTGTGATCCACAGATTGTTGTTCCGGGTCTGGGTGTCATGTGTATGTGAAATTGTATGTTTGTAAACGCACCCACGACACACGAGAAAATCCTAGTGAGGGGCTATGTTTTATAAAGAAAAATAAACAATTGACAGTAGCTATTATTTTTTTTATGGCACAAGCCCGCCACACCCTCCCAAAACCGCTGCAACGCCTGTAAGCCAGGATCTACAGTAGATACAACCATGAAAACACCGGAACACTGAAGTTCGGCGCGTCCCAGGGACATGAGTAACTGTCTTGGTAGCAACGAAGTAAATCAGAAGATATTATAAGAGGAGAAGAAAAAAAACGATAGTTTCCACTTCCCTCGGCGAATTACTGCAGGATTCATTCTGTCAGGCACAAAAAAGAGACTGTACAACTGGGTGAAGCCCAGTCGCCAAGCACCATATAAGTGTGTGAGAGCCATGCTTCGGCACGAATGGGCCGGCTCGACCGGAGTTATACCATGACCGAGCAGAAAACCAACGTGAAGCAACGCTTGTGTTGTGTTTCGTCGTGTGAGTGAGGTTACCGGAGGCCCAATTACCCTCCCCTTCCCCAATCTCCCCAATTCCTGAATCCCCAACGATCCTCAAACTCCTAACCCCCAAATGGCCGGTAACGCACTTGTAACGCCTCTGGTGTTCCTGGTGTACATGGGCGACGCCGATTGCTTACCATCAGGTGATCCGTCAGCTCGTTTGCTTACTAATAAAAAACATTATATTTAATATGTATTGTATGTATTGTATGTTTTTTTTTAAGGGGGGAAAATCATCGAATGACTGCTCCCGCCTGGGTGAGGCGGAAGGGAGTGTCAGACTCTTACTGACTAAAAACCACCCCGTTCCTTCTCCTGCACGTCGAGCCGGAGCCCCGGTTACCCGTTAGGTTCTCCGCGACTCCGAATCGGCATCGGCCCTATTGAGCCCCATCTGTGGTGGTCTGATGGCTCTTTGAGGCGCGCGCGGAACGCGACGCGCCGTACGCTCGGGTCTGTTTCTGGTCGGACGGGGAGCCACCCATGCTCGCCGTCCGCAGGCCCGCACTTACGGTGGCCAGAGATCGTCGCGCGATCCCCGACGCCCGGTGTGTCCTTCGCGATGGCTGGGTTGCGAGGAGGCAGCGCTTCGCTGCCTCACGCGTCCCGCCTCCTCCTTAGGTATGTATTGTATACTTACCCAATAATGCAAATAGTAAACAACTATATTTTATCATTATTGCAATGACATAATATAATGAATTGGTTTTCTCCTAGCCAAAATCAAAATATTTTGGTTTATTTTTACATTATAACTGAACGATGTATTTTTCATAAAACTTTACTTTATTTTAAATATCCAAACACAGAAATACAATGACGTCGTTAACGATCGATTTTATTGAGAAAATATAAATAAAAACAGCTATTAACTAGGTACTTGCAGTAAAATGTATTTGTTCAGTTTTCGTTGGCCGAGTGGTCGCAAGGACGACTGCCGGAGCAAGGGTTCTCGGGGTCGATTACTTACTACTAGGCAAAGTACTAATGGGTTTTAAAAAAATCTCAGTAGTAGCACGGTGTCTGAAATTGTGCCCAGTATATGGCAATAGACTCACCCCTATTACATTGGACTCGTAACATAAATAGTGAAAAGTGAGTGTTACATTGTACAGTGGCATTAAGTGCCGTAATGTGCACCTCTGCCTATCCCTTCGGGGATAAAAAGGCATGCTATTTCGATATTCTGGCTAAAAGGCGTTATGTTATGTTTTCAGGCGTCTTGAAAATCTATTTCGATATACCTCTATGTATGGGTAAACTAACTTCTGCCAGCGGCTTTGCCCGCGGTCCCGTGTGAGAAAAACAAACCCTATTAGTTAATGCAGACCATAATCTATCCTGTTCTGAGTTTCATCCGGATCCCTTCAGCCCTTTTTACTATTGTATTGCCAAACTGTTAGTTTGGCTCAATCACGAATGAACATACAAACTTTAGCATTTAGAAGAAGTAAGATTAAACATTACCTGTGTATTATAGAGTTGAAACCTACCAACGGCAACTACCAATGTGACTTTTTCCGAGTTATATGTACTTTCTAAGATTATCTAGACACTACTGACAAACGGTGAAGGAAAACATCGTGAGGAAACCTGAGTTTGATGATGATGCGTATGCGGATGCGTACGTCATAACATCTATCTGCATGCCAAATTACAACCCGATCGGTTTTAAACTGACAAAGTCTCATACAAACTTTCATCCCCTATTTTACCCCCTTGAGGGTGGAAATTATCAAAATCCTTTCTTAGCGGATGCCTACGTCGTAACATCTATCTGTATGCCAAATTTTAGCCCAATCTGTCCAGCGGTTTGGGCTGTGCGTTGATAGATCACTATGTCAGTCAGTCAGTCAGTCAATCACCTTTATTATTGATATATAGATTATAAGATTATAAGTTTGACATCGCCAACCCGCATTGAGCAAGCGTGGGAATTAATGCTCAAACCTTGTCCGTGTAAGAAGAAGTCTTTGGTCAGCAGTGGTTACATATAGGATGTTGGTGATGAATAAAAATTAAGTATTGTTAATAAAATAATAATTTATTAAACACTTTACAATTTTACTTGTCTAAAATTAAGTTAAATGAATAAAATCGAAATATAATTACAATTATTGCTTAAACATTAATAAAATGGTCATTAGCCATGTATGTAGGCGCACAAAGTCGTTTTCACCTAACTAACAGTTACCTAGCATTATGTAACATGTAAAAGAACCCCTTTCTTGTGCTGCTAGGTGTCTTATCCTAGGGGTTCTTTAAAATTCCGGAGATGTTATTTAAAACGATCATACAGGGTAGGTACTTTTTTCGCCCCCACTCCTAAACTTTGATTCGTTTTATCTAAGTATTGTTTTATTTATTTATTTATTTATGTACACACATTCAACACAGAGGACAATACATAGTAAAAAAACAGAGTACATAGGCCCCACATATTCCAACTGGAATTTCTTCCTGTGGGCCTGTGGCAGGAAAAGAAATAACAACACTGAGACACATAGTGTGTTACACAAACAAGATAGAAATCAATTAATAAAAAAAAAGTAATAAGACCGAAGAAACCAATAGAAATAACAATAATAAACAATAAAACAAATTAATATAATACAATTATAATACATAATATATATATAGGCATAGACAAACAAATCCATATTTCGTTTTGTTATACGACATAATAAAAAAATACGTGTCTTATATTTTTTCATTACCTAACTTACGGACTAAATTGATTTTTAATTTTCATACCTCGTTATCATTCCTATTGACATTAAATAGAATAGTCTAATTGACTATTAACATCTAACGTTGTCTTAAACAACACAATACCCATTTTAAAATGATCCCTGTTTCGTATGAATTAAATACTTTCCTTAATCAAAAATAAATTATTTCGACTGTTCAATTCAATAAAATATTAAAAAATAATCACACTTTCATTAATTGATTTTATAACAAACTTAATTTTAGTATTTTTCCAGCAAATTTTTAATAAATAACTATGCTGTTTGACGCTAAAAAACGTGACGTCACAATACACAATCTCGTACAAAATTCATAGAAAACTGTCGTTTTTGACAGTTCGAAAAAAGTATTGAATTTGACTAGTTGGCAAGTACCCGATTGTGTATGTGTCTAGGGAGGGGGGGGGGGAGAGGTCGAATGTCAATTGATTTCATCACAATCGTCTCCATCCCCGTCTTTATCATTTTGCTGCTTGTATGGCTTAGAAATTCTGACACCACCCGTGGTTTTCGTGGATCCTGTGGAGAAAATGTATAAATGTGTAATTGGTATAGGCACTATCTTCTGCCAACGGCTTTGCCCGCATTCCTGTTGGGTAAAAAGTTAACTAAAATCGCGGGTTACTCACGTGAATATACTGAGAAAAGCTCTACTAGTTTCGAACCAAAGAGGGCTTCTTCCTCATGAAGCAGCGTACGCGGTTTCAGCGACGTCGCGCAGTTCACTGGCAGCTAGAGCTTTTCTCAGTATATTCACGTGAGTAACCCGCGATTTTAGTTTTTTTTATGGCATAAGCCGGTGAACGATCAGACGGATCACGTGATGGTAAGCAATCGGCGTCGCTCGTGGACACTTGGAACACCATAGGCGTTACAAGTGCGTTACCGGCCTTTTGGGGATTAGGAGTTTGAGGATCATTGGGGATTCAGGAATTGGGGAGATTGGGGAAAGGGAGGGTAAGGGTAATTGGGCCTCCGGTAACCTCACTCACACAGGACGAAACACAATACAAGTGTTGTTTCACGTCGGTTTTCTGCTTGGCCGTGGTATCACTCCGGTCGAGCCGGCCCATTCGTGCCGAAGCATGGCTCTCCCAATCTTATTAATTGTAAGTGAATCTCACCTCCATATTCCGAAACCTCGATGCAAGGAGGTCTAAATATTCTGGTTTGCTTCAAAAACGTAGCTACCATCGATGTATCCAAGTGCCATCTTTTGAATAATTCTTTTAAACCACCCTTTAATGAGCGAAAGTCATGCGTTGAACCTGAAATACATTCAAATAAATTCAAATAACCTCTCGCGTGTTTCTCGTACGAGAGAGTTGAGTGCCAATCGCGCAATTGTACACACGGGTGGACGAGAGAGTTGAGTGCCCATCGCGCAATTGTACACACGGGTGGACGAGAGAGTTGAGTGCCCATCGCGCAATTATACACACGAGTGTACGAGAGAGTTGAGTGCCCATCGCGCAATTGTACACACGGGTGGACGAGAGAGTTGAGTGCCCATCGCGCAATTGTACACACGGGTGGACGAGAGAGTTGAGTGCCCATCGCGCAATTGTACACACGGGTGTACGAGAGAGTTGAGTGCCCATCGCGCAATTGTACATACGGGTTATACGGAAAACGCGCACCGATTGGATATTTTTTCTGTGACGTATATTTTTAAGTTTGCAACCCGTTCTTTATTTGATTGAACAGAATAGTTAATTCGCTTTTCTATTAAAATATTTACCCGTGTGTCCGAGAAGCGCGCGAGAGGATAAAGGTAAATTAGATACCGTCTGCTCGTTGGCCGAGTGGTCGCAAGTACAACTGCCGGGCAAAAAGTCTCGGGTTGGATTCCCGGGTCACGCAAAGTACTACTGGGTTTTTAAAGAAATTCTCAGTGGCAGCACGAAGTCTGGAATTGTGCCCGGTATATGGCAATAGGCTCACCCCCTATTACATGGGACTCGTAACATAAATAGTGAAAAGTGGGTGTTACATTGTACAGTGGCATTAAGTGCCGTAATGTGCGCCTTTTCGCCCTTCGGGGATAAAAGGCGTGATGTTATGTTATGTTAGATACCGTCGCGCGGTTTTGTCCTCACTCGGTTCCTCGTGATATTTTATAGTCTACAGCCTTCCTCGATAGATAAACTATCCCACACAAGAATAATTATTCGAATTGAATCACCAGTAGGTCCAAAACACTACGCCTTTATCCCCGAAGGGGTAGGCAGAAGTGCACATTACGGCACTTAATGCCACTGTACAATGTAACACTAACTTTTCACTATTTATGTTATGAGTTCGCTGTAATAGGGGGTGTGCCTATTGCCATATGCCGGACCCATTTCCAGACTTCGTGCTTCGTTTGTAGACTTCAAACCACTGAGGGTTCTTCTTCATGAGCAGCGTGCGCGGTCGCGGCGACTTCACGCAGCTTACTGCTGGCTACTGAAGAACTCCTCTGTGGTTCGAAACTAGTAGAGCTTTTCTTAGTATATCCACGTCAGTAACCTGCGATTTTTAGAATGTCTCACGATAGTTATTATAAAAACACCCCAGTTATACTTTGGCCGACCCGGGAATCGAACCGGAAACCCCATTACCAGCAGGTACACTTGCAACCACTCGGCCAACGAGGCAGTAGTTCCAGAGATTATTTAGCAATAGCCAATGACAGCTAATAGCAGGACTATGAGCCTCGTCTACATAAAAGTTCGCGACGCATCTAAGACAGTTCATGTCCTCGGAACGCACCGGACTTCAGTGTTTCGGTATTTGCATAGATGATGATGATACAAAATATCAGATCGATCTGTCTGGGGCATTCCACTTTGCGCACCTAAATGAAGCGCACCCAGACGAAGCGCACCTAAAGTATTCCACTTTGCGCACCTGTAGGTGCGCTTAAAATAAAAATTTTAAATAAATAGTTTTTCTATTCCACGAAGCGCACCTACGAATATCACTCGCATAGTGCGGAGACTAAGAAATAAAAATATCGATATAAGAAAATATTTATTATTTAAAAGACTAACTCTATTCTACTATAACTGACAGATGTTAGATATATTAATATCTAACATCTGTCAGTTTCATTATAATAATGTGACACAATATTTGTCATTTTGATTTTGTTATCTTAGTATTTAAAATCACAGATTGTTTCATAATTACAATAAAAACATGGACAAATATCAATATTGTGTCACATTATTATAATGAAACTGACAGATGTTAGATATTTAAGTTAGTCTTTTAAATAATAAATATGTTCTTATATCGATATTTTTATTTCTTAGTCTCCGCACTATGCGAGTGATATTCGTAGGTGCGCTTCGTGGAATAGAAAAACTATTTATTTAAAATTTTTATTTTAAGCGCACCTACAGGTGCGCAAAGTGGAATACTTTAGGTGCGCTTCGTCTGGGTGCGCTTCATTTAGGTGCGCAAAGTGGAATGCCCCATCTGTCTTTAGGAAGGAGCTAAAAGTCCAATTACATTTGACAAACAAAGAGACAAAGCGGGCCAGCTAAATAAACCATTTAAAGAAAAAAAGAGTCTTATACTCAAGACGTTTTTTTTGGGGAAAAATCATAGAATGACTGGGAATGACCCGCCTGGGTGAGACGGGAAGTGTCAGACTCTTACTGACTAAAAACCACCCCGTTCCTTCTCCTGCACGTCGAGCCGGAACCCCGGTAAACCGTTAAGTTCTCCGCGGCTCCGTATCGGCATCAGCCTTTTGGGCCCCATCTGTAGTGGTCTGATGACTCTTTGAGACGCGCGCAAAATGCGACGCACCGTACGCTCGGGTCTGGTTCTGGTCGGGCGGCGAGCCACCCATGCTCGACGTCCGCAGGCCCGCGCTTACGGTGGGCGGATATCGTACCGCAATCCCCGACGCCCGGAGTGTCCTTCGCGACGGCTGGGTTGTGAGGAGGCAGCGCTTCATTACCTCATGCGCCCCGCCTTCTCCTTAGCAATATTCAAGACGTTACCTACTTTTTATAATAATGTTCAAAATGGTTGTCAGTGCTGTGTAGTCCCATTGAAATATTCTTAGCCTTATATTACTTATTTGGTACAGCGTCGATATAATTTCTTCTTTCGTATATTCAGATGTATTCAAATTAAGCAAATGTGCCAATCTGAAAAACAATATTTAAATAATCAGTAGCTTTTACACAGTCACCGCTACCATCAGTTGACTGGACAATCTCTTTACACGAGCTTCAGTTTACCTGCGTACATCTCCGTCGTTATGCGAGACCTGTTTAGGTGCCCAGTCATCTTTGTAGCCTTTTAATCTTGGTGTGATTAGATCCAAACAATGCGTCCATCTCTGTGGTTTGTTTCTTTCTTCCTCGTCTAAATAGAATCGTCGATGGAATATATTGGCTGGAGTGACACGGTTCTTGTTATGTACCTGGTTGATAGGAAGTCTTTCTAGTTTTTTCTTTTTTGGGATGTTCTGTTGTCGTTTTGGCAATTCTAAGTCATGATTTGTACTCAGATTTCCTTTGACAATATTATGGTTATTAGGTTTAATGTAATTTTCCATTATCGGTTTTATAAGGGATTTGTCAGATATTGGGACTACAAAGTCGTAATAGTCGTGTAGTTTGAAAGGCTTGGTTTTTGCTCCTGGTTCCTTGGAGTCAGTTGTTCTCTGATCTTCTTCTATTTCTTGTCTCAGTCGCTGTTTGAGACCGGCTATTCGTTTTTCTATGTTGTCACATTTTACTGTCGTTAGAGCTGAAAGAATGAAGAAATTAATGGCTATATAAATAAAGTTTTTTTTATACATGCCATGTCAGTAGTAGTCGCAAATGTAACAACATATAATGAAGATATAGCTAATGCAGCCTTCGAGGAATGCCATTATCAATTAATCAATAATATTTGCCTACCTCCTCTTTATATCTAAGATAAAACCTAACATAAAACATCTTACCTAATATCGTAATTAATCCCACCCACTTAACAAGCATTGTACTAAACATTACAAATTTGTATAATTTTAAAATTAAACTAGGTACTTATAATAACAAAACTTTTGTATAACCATATAATATAGCTAAAAAATTAAAAATTAAAACTTAATCACATATTTTTCGATTTAAAAAAGAAACCAGCGAAGCTTGACTTAGATTATTTTTCATTATAACAGCGAAAACGTAATGAAAGTAGGAAAAAATTCAAGATATAATTAAAATTATTTGGCCATTACTAAACAAACATTGATAAACGTTTATTGAAAAACGACACGATACCCCTCTACTTCGCGGACGATCTCCGGCCACCGTAAGCGCGGGCCTGCGGACGGCGAGCATGGGTCACCGTCCGACCAGAACCAGACCCGAGCGTACGGCTCGTCGCGTTACGCGCGCACCTCAAAGAGCCATCAGACCACTACGGAACCCAACAGGGCTGATGCTGATTCGGAGTCGCGGAGAACCTAACGGGTTACCGGGGCTCCGTCTCGAAGCGCAGGAAAAGGAACGGGGTTTTTAGTCAGTAAGAGTCTGACACTCCCTCCCGCCTCACCCAGGCGGGAGCAGTCATTCGATGATTTTCCCCCTTAAAAAAGCCCTTTACTTATTCATGTCTTGACACAATTTGACTGCGAAACTACTAAACCGATTTCGAATAAATTTTAGTACCGATATATGGATGTATGCAATGTATTTATTGGATTTCTAGTACCCAAATTAGAAGGCACATTAGGAATGGAATGATCCTTCATCATCATCATCATCAACAGTCTATAATTGCCCACTGCTGAGCAAAGCCTCTTCTTACACGGAATAGGTTTGAGCATTAATCATCACGCTTGCTCAATGCGGGTTTGCTAGTACAAACTTATAATTTTAGAAATTACTAGCCCAGGTTACCTCACGATGTTTTTCTTCACCATTTGTCAGTGGTGTCTTGATAATCTTAGAACGTACATAAAACTCGGAAAAAGTCACATTGGTACTTGCCGTTGGTAGGTTTCGAGCCCGCACCCTCATGCATGAGAAGCGGTCTTAAACCTCCGGGCCACCACGACGACAAGGAACGATCGTTCGAAACGGTAGGTTAGGGTAACAATAGGTGATTTATGATTTGTCTAAGGCGTTTTAGCAATTTCATCATGAATATCATAGTACCTGCATAGTTGTTAATGAAACGATAATTTAAACATCATGTTTATAATAATTTTCATTTGTTTTTTATACGATAAGCTAGTAAACGACCAGACGGATCATCTGATGGTAAGCAATCGACGTCGTCCATGGACACCTGGAACAACAAGTGAACGGACAAGTGCGTTACCGGGATGGGGGTAATCCTTTTGAGGATTAGGAATTTAAGAATTCTTGGGGATTCGGGGATAGGGGACTTTGGGGAAGAGGAGGGGGATAAATGGGCCTCAAGCAAATAATATTAATAGATCATAAAGATTAACCTAGATTTTATTAGAACTGCAGATGTAGCCAAATGCCATTTAGCGCTTGTCTACATGTAGAATAGAAAATGAAATTATATGGGATTGAGGTAAATTTTGACACTTGTCAGTGTCATCCCCATACGTTTAGTTTTCTACACTCTCTGTAGACAAGCGCTATAGTGGCGTTTGGCTAAAGGCATTGGTAAGTAAATATTCAAGTATTTAAGGGTGTTCCCCAAGGCACAATATTGTGACCGATTTAATCAATCCAAAAAATTATACATGGAAAATTATGACCTGCGATTGAACTAATTTTATGTGAAATAATTTTTCTGGGCAGTGTGCAGATGTTTTTATTGTATTTTGTTGTTTTTGTTTTTTTCCCTACAATATATATTTGTGTTTGTGGTGACCACATTCTTTTATAACTAGTTAAGTTTTTTTTTTATTAACTAAAGCCAAGGCTTTGCCCATCAATATCAAGATATTGATGGGCATACACATTTTTTTTCTATATTTTCTATTTGATTAGCTGTTAGTCTTCCATAATTGTTGAATAAATAAAGACATCGCGCTGCTAGTTGCTGTAGAGTAGCAGCGGGACAGTCGCCGCGTCGCGGGTCGCGGAATACTGCTCATGGACATTAGACTCTAGCTTGGCTTTTTTTATTATCTTTATTAATTTAGGGTCCTTTGGTCACAAAAATGTCACATAACAATATTAAACACAACTTTAATTTACTTAAATTCTACTCTTGTTTACTATTTTATATATTAAGGTAGCTGCTTTGGGTAATGGCTGTGCCAATATACTGTGAAAAACGCCAACATTAATTAAGTTAATTCTAAACATATGTTTCAATACGTCTCTCCCAGCCCTCGTCCTGATACGTTCCACCAGCAAGTGATGCTCTAGCAGGGCCGGATTTAGGGGTCCAGAGGCCTCGGGGCAACAAAGGAGTGGAGGCCCCCTTGCCCCGAATTATTTTCCAGATTGAGATCGAGGACGCTCGCTTGATTTCGAGGACGCTCGAAAACGATCGAGGACGCTCGATTGATTTCGAGGACGCTCGAAAACGATCGAGGACTCTCGATAGATTTCGAGGACGCTCGAAAACAATCGAGGATGCTCGAAAACGATCGAGGACTCTCGATAGATTTCGAGGACGCTCGAAAACAATCGAGGATGCTCGAAAACGATCGAGGACGCTCGATTGATTTCGAGGACGCTCGAAAACAATCGAGGACTCTCGATAGATTTCGAGGACGCTCGAAAACGATCGAGGACGCTCGAAAACAATCGAGGACACTCGAAAACGATCGAGAACTCTCGATAGATTTCGAGGACGCTCGAAAACAATCGAGGACGCTCGATTGATTTCGAGGACGATCGAAAACGATCGAGGCCTCTCGATAGATTTCGAGGACGCTCGAAAACAATCGATGGTGCTCGATAGATTTCGAGGATGCTCGAAAACGATCGAGAACTCTCGATAGATTTCGAGGACGCTCGAAAACGATCGAGGACGCTCGATAGATTTCGAGGACGCTCGAAAACAATCGAGGACGCTCGATAAATTTCGAGGACGCCCGATAGATTTCGAGGGCGCTCGAAAACGATCGAGGACGCTCGATAGATTTCGAGGACGCTCGAAAACAATCGAGGACGCTCGATAAATTTCGAGGACGCCCGATAGATTCCGAGGACGCTCGAAAACGATCGAGGACGCTCGATAGATTTCGAGGACGCTCGAAAACGATCGAGGACTCTCGATAGATTTCGAGAACGCTCGAAAACGATCGAGAACTCTCGATAGATTTCGAGGACGCTCGAAAACAATCGAGGACTCTCGATAGATTTCGAGGACGCTCGAAAACGATCGAGGACGCTCGAAAACAATCGAGGACACTCGAAAACGATCGAGGACTCTCGATAGATTTCGAGGACGCTCGAAAACGATCGAGGACGCTCGACAACGATCGAGGACTCTCGATAGATTTCGAGGACGCTCGAAAACGATCGAGTACTCTCGATAGATTTCGAGGACGCTCGAAAACAATCGAGGACGCTCGATTGATTTCGAGGACGCTCGAAAACAATCGAGGACTCGCGATAGATTTCGAGGACGCTCAAAAACGATCGAGGACGCTCGAAAACAATCGAGGACTCTCGATAGATTTCGAGGACGCTCGAAAACGATCGAGGACGCTCGAAAACGATCGAGGACTCTCGATAGATTTCGAGGACGCTCGAAAACGATCGAGTACTCTCGATAGATTTCGAGGACGCTCGAAAACAATCGAGGACGCTCGATTGATTTCGAGGACGCTCGAAAACGATCGAGGACGCCCGATAGATTTCGAGGACGCTCGAAAACGATCGAGGACGCTCGATAGATTTCGAGGACGCTCGAAAACAATCGAAGACGCTCGATAAATTTCGAGGACGCCCGATAGATTTCGAGGACGCTCGAAAACGATCGAGGACGCTCGATAGATTTCGAGGACGCTCGAAAACGATCGAGGACTCTCGATAGATTTCGAGAAAGCTCGAAAACGATCGAGAACTCTCGATAGATTTCGAGGACGCTCGAAAACAATCGAGGACTCTCGATAGATTTCGAGGACGCTCGAAAACGATCGAGGACGCTCGAAAACAATCGAGGACGCTCGAAAACGATCGAGGACGCTCGATAGATTTCGAGGACGCTCGAAAACAACGAGGACGCTCGATAAATTCGAGGACGCCCGATAGATTCGAGGCGCTCGAAAACGATCGAGACCGCTCGATAGATTTCGAGGACGCTCGAAAACAATCGAGGACGCTCGATAAATTTCGAGGACGCCCGATAGATTCCGATGACGCTCGAAAACGATCGAGGACGCTCGATAGATTTCGAGGACGCTCGAAAACGATCGAGAACTCTCGATAGATTTCGAGGACGCTCGAAAACAATCGAGGACTCTCGATAGATTTCGAGGACTCGAAAACTCGAGGACGCTCGAGAAACAATCGAGGACACTCGAAAACGATCGAGGACCTCGATAGATTTCGAGGACGCTCGAAAACGATCGAGACGCTCGAAACGATCGAGGACTCTCGATAGATTTCGAGGACGCTCGAAAACGATCTCTCTACGATAGATTTCGAGGACGCTCGAAAACAATCGACGCTCGATTGATTTCGAGGACGCTCGAAACAATCGAGGACTCTCGATAGATTTCGAGGACGCTCGAAAACGATCGAGGACGCTCGAAAACAATCGAGGACACTCGAAAACGATCGAGGACTCTCGATAGATTTCGAGGACGCTCGAAAACGATCGAGGACGCTCGAAAACGATCGAGGACTCTCGATAGATTTCGAGGACGCTCGAAAACGATCGAGTACTCTCGATAGATTTCGAGGACGCTCGAAAACAATCGAGGACGCTCGATTGATTTCGAGGACGCTCGAAAACGATCGAGGACGCCCGATAGATTTCGAGGACGCTCGAAAACGATCGAGGACGCTCGATAGATTTCGAGGACGCTCGAAAACGATCGAGGACGCTCGATAGATTTCGAGGA